CCGGCTGGCCTTGAACCTGGGATCCTCCTGCCTCGGCCTCCCGAATCACTTGGATCAGTGTCTGGCTTCGTAAGGTCTGGCTTCTTGGCCCACAGACAGCCACCCTCTGGCTGTGTCCTCCCCTGGTGGAGGGGAGATCTTCGGGTCTCTTTGGTAAGGGTGATGATCCTCTTCATGAGGGCTGCATCCTTGTGACCTGATCACCCTACCAGGTCACCTCTCCAAATCCCTCACTTTGGGGACTGTGTTCCAGCACAATTTGGGGAAAGCACAGACTCTCGGCTCACAGCACCTTCTCATCTGCCCCTGGAGGATGGGGTTTGGCATCTGCTTACTGTCAGCCGAGGGTTGTCCTGGGGGTGCTCAGAGCCGGGTTTTGCAGGTGCCTCTTTGGTGGCTGTCCTAGCCAGCTCAGGCTGCCACAGCATGGCACCAGGGAGCCAGGTTTAGGCCACACAAGTCCATTTCTCACAGTTCCCGAGCTGGAGGCCCAGGACCAGGGCCGGCATGGCTGGGCTCTGGTGAGGGCTCTCTTCCTGGCTTGTCAGATGGCTGCCTCCTTGCTGGGTCCTCACCTGGCAGAAAGGAGAGACTCTGGTCCTCACTGGACACTCACCCTGTCAGATTAGAGCCCTGCCCTGTCACCTCACTTAACCCGGATGGCTTCCAGAAAGGCCCTGTCTGCAGTATGGGGACACTGGGGGGGGGCTTCAACCCAGGACTCGGGGCACACCGCTCCGTCTATAACCAAAGGTGCTGGCGGAAGTCTGGGAGCTTGAGCCGGGAATCTGCTGGCCCTGCTGCCCAGCCCCTGCAGGCCCCGCTGGGGCAGGAGAGCCAGCGCTGCCCCACTGCTTCCCCACCCGGAAAGTCCTGCGCCCAGCCGTGCCTCCGTGATGCTCGGATTCAAACTCCTGCCTCCTGGTGCCAGCAGCCCCGAGGAGCCGTGTGCCACCGTGTCCCCACTCCAGGACTTGCTACCTCCCCCCCCCCCGTTTTTATCTTCATGTAATGAGCCCGAGTGTGCATTCCTCGTCTGGCTTCTTGGCCCCTCTCTTGGTTCTGAGGTGTCTGCCCCGTGTTGTGTGCGCAGCGGTGTGTGGTGTGCTCCCGAGGTGAAGGGGCTGAGACGGAGATACCCGTCTGTTGGCAGGCACCGGGCGTCCCACCGTCGAGTTAGGACCCACACCGCCTCGGTGGAGCTCTGCCCGTGCCTTTGGTGACATTCGCAAGCGTTTCTGTTGGCGTGCAGCCAGAGTGGCACTGGGCAGTGGACACGCGGTCACCTCTCGTAGGAAGTGCCAGGTGGCGTCCCCCGTCGTTGGCCGCTCCCTGGCTGCAGTTCCGAGTGGTCTTTTGCTCTTGGGCACCTGGTGGAGCCACTCGGTGGTTTGCATTTCCTTGTGGCCAGGGAGGGCCAGCACCCTTCACACGCTGGCTGCCCGCTCCGTGTCTCCCCGG